TTGCTTGCCTTCTTAATGCCTACTTCCAATCCCATCAGCAAATCCAGGGGGTCCTGCATCAAAGTGTATCCAGAACCTTTGCTTCTGACCCATCTTCCATGCCAGTCTGGTCCAAACTGGATCGTCTGTCACCTGGTAACTGGTTTCTACTTCCACCCCCCTCCCCTGGTACATTCTCAAAGCAATAGTTAGAGTGATCCTCTACCAAAATCCCTCCAAAGGCTCTACCTTTCACTCTTGTCAAAGCCCATGTCCCCACGATGACCGACAAGGCCTTCATGATGGGCTCTCCATTCGTCCCCTCCTCGCCCCTTCTCCAGCTGGCTAGCTGTTCTCCAAGCTCTTGCTCCAACATGCCAGACTCCCTCCTACCTCAGGCTCTTTTGCATGGACTACTCCCTCTGCCTGGAAATGTGCTTTTCCTAGGTATCTGGATGATCTACTTTCTCCTTTCCTCCAGCTCCCCACTCAAATTCCACTTCTCAGTGAGTCCTTCCCAGATTGGCCTTTTAAAAATTGAAATAGTCTTTCCTGGCATCTCCCTTCTTTGCTCATTTATCATCTCTGGCACATGTCACCTCCTAATACCTAATATCTCCCAATGCTTAATTTACTTATATGTTGTGTTTATTGTCTGCTCCCACAGGAGGTTTTAAGTCCCATGAGGTCAGAGATGTTTGTTTCGTTCAGTGTTCCATAATCTACTATGGTGCCTGGTGCTTAGGAGACAGTCAATAGTGTTTGTTGAATGAACGAATGTGATGCAGACCAGGAGCTGTGGGGGATGGTGAAGGGAGGAAGAAGGCCTCGTTCGATTCCACAGGGATTATCACTAATATTTGGTGCTGGGAGTGCTTCCTGAAGAAGGTCAGAGCTGAACCTTGAAGGGAGGATAGTCTTTAACAATAGTAATAACAGTTGGGATAAGCAACGGGACTCATGAAATCCTAGGAACGATTTTGTCAGAGCTCTGCTCTCAGAGGAAGGACGGCCCTGGAAAAGCCGAACCGGAGGTAGGGTGAGGAGGTGGGATGCGAAAGCAAGCCCGGAGGCAGGGACACAGTCTCCTAGAATGTGTGGGTGCTGCGGCGAGCTGCCAGGCCCCCCATCCTTGGCCCCCCCCCCCCCCCCCCCCCCCCCGTCCTCAGTCCCCAGCAAGACGACACAGTGCTTCACAGGGAGGGTTAGGAATCCCGTCTGTGTTTTCCTGGGGATGTACCTGTCTTGAAGGAAATTCTTTGTGGAGACGGAAACAAAAGACGTGCAGATCCGTGGTCAGTGATTGGGCATTGATCCCCGTTTCCAGTCACAATTATGTGTTGCCATGACAACTGCACAGTCAGGACCAAGCCAGAGTCTCACTCGGTGTATCAGATGCAGACACGCTGTGTGCACTTTTCCACCTCAGCTGAAATGTGGAAGCCACAGGTTTTCATGCCAGAAACCCAAGGAGAAGGCCACGGCTCGCCCTTCAGGAAAGGGAGGGCATGGGGGCATATTCACCCCCCTGCTCGAAAATCTCTGAAAACAGCTTTGACTGCGCCCCTCCGTGGCTCCCTCCTCTTGTCTACTGTCTTCACTCCCTCACGTCTGCACCACTTGCTTTGGCCAAATTCACTTTCTCATAATTTTCTAGATGTACCAGGGAGGAGAACAGTGTATAAGCAAGGAGACAGAGGAATGAAACAGCATGGAATGTTCTGGAAGCACTTGGGGCTGTGAGGGGCCAGGTGGGGAGGAAGGACTTTGGCATCTGCAGACACTACGCTAAGCCCGGCTCTGCCACGCACGGGTAATGGGCAAGTTCCCTCATTGTCTAAACGTGCTCTCCTCACCTCAGTAAGACTGCCTTGCACATCAGTGCTGAGCTAAGTGAGGCTGGCTGTGTGCACGCCTCTAGCATGGCAGCTCCAAACACAGCAGAGGTGGGCAGATGGGGAGGGCGTCCTCATGCTGCACACTGAAGACTTGGAGTTGGCTGGTGGGGGCAAGGAGTCAGGGAGAGATTTAAAGCTGAGGAAGGGTTGGTGCTGCTATTAATCCCATTTTATAGACGACAAAACTAAGGTACAGAGAGGTTAAGTAATTCGCTCAAGACTGCACACTTAGTAGGTGGCCGAGCTGGATTCACACCCAAGCTCTTAACCACCATAGTGGTTATTCTTCCTCCAACTAAATAGGAAAAGGAAAGGTCTTTGAGGCTAAGGCCATGTTAGGGACTGTGGAAGAATTGACTGAGATCCACAGAAAAGCTGGACTTGGCTTTGCCCCCAACATAGTGGTTAAGCTGCTGAGAAAGGAAGAATTTAGGTAATCGGCATACCCATCAACACATTTCCTTCAACAAGGATGGACCATCGGCCCTCTCCGAAGCCTATGGCACCACCCCTTACTCCTAGTGCATTGCGGAAAGGCCTGTCTGAAGTCCTCCGTGCTCTGGGCCAACCGTACGGCCTTGTGGAGCTTGTCGTAGGAAGGACAGGTTCCCAGCAGCTGTTTCCAGCCCTCCAGGCCGATCTGGGAAGGAGAGGTCCTGGTGCTAGGACTCAAGACTGCTCACACATACACACACTCACACCCCCAGCAGAGAAGTGTGCACAAGAAAGCCCAACACCTACATCGGGACTCAGGCTGGAAGACGAGAGTGTCGTCTGCAGCCACGGAGGACTATAATGGCCATCTCTTAGTCAGGGGCCACTGCACATATCTCAGCCAGAAAGAATTTAATATGGAGCATCAAACCCAGCACAGTCACTGCCTGGCTGTGGGCTGGCAAGCCCACGGAGCCGGCCCTGCTGCTCCTGCCACCCTTTGGGCTGGGGCTCCAATAGGAGGAGAGGTGGTTGGAGGTGGTTCTACCAGAAGCCCCCAAACCAGGGTCATCTGACTGTCGCTTGGCCATCAAAGGAGGGGAGTGTAATTGGCCACCAAGGAGGTGTTGCAGCTTCTTCCAGGGACACCCCAGAAAGCAGAGAAATACTCTGGACCTCCTTCAGCTCCCCCTTTTTTTTTCTTCCAGTGCCTCCATTAGTGGGGCAGAGGGGGACTGGGGCTTGCGGGGGCCTGGGACATGTCCCTACAATGAGGGGTGGACAGGGCAGGGAGGGCAGGGATAGATGGGAGAGCAAAAGGTGGTTGAGGGGGCATGCTATTAATCTCACCTGGAACAGCCCTGGGTTATCTGGAATAATCTAATTCCAAATACGCTGTCCCATTGTCCCGGGAAACTACTGAAGCTTTCTGGACGTTTAAATATGGGTATGCACCGATATCGGATTTGTCTTCCTGACACTCAGCATTCCACATTCCACTTGCTCAGTGGGACCTGACCCCAAAGTCTGGCTACAGAGTCTTTATCTGAACAAAATCCAGCATTAAAAAAGAATTTTAAAAATTTCCCAGAATTAAAAAAAATCCATAGTAAAACACTAATCAAAATGTTATTTATTTAACATAATAGAAAATATCTAACAAAATCATTGGAACACCAGAGGTATTCTCATTCAATTCTGAATGGTCCAAGAATTATAAATAATTGAAAAGGAGACAAGAATTTGATGATATAATCACCTACCTAGGAAACAAATTAAAATTGACTGGAAAACACTTAGAATGAATACGGTAATTCTGTAAAGTGACTGGCTGGAAAATAAATATTCAAAGCGTAATGCTTTTCTTATATAATAACAATAACCAGGGGTTCCCCGGGGCTCAGTCGGTTAAGCGTCTGCTCTCGGCTCAGGTCATGAGCCCAGCGTCCTGGGATCGAGCCCCGCGTCGGGCTCCCTGCTCGGCGGGAAGCCCTCTTTCTCCCTATCCTGCTCCCCCTGCTTGTGTACCCTCTCTAGCTGTCTCTCTGTCAAATAAATAAATAAAATCTTTAAAAAAATAATAACAATAACCAGCTGGAAAATTAGAGGGAAGAAAGATGTGGCTCACAGAAGTTAATGTGCAGCTCCTTTACAAGGGACATGACAGACCTTGGTGGGAGGCTGGAAGATGACCAGAGCAAAGGGGGGGCATGTTCCTGGAAGGGGAGACCCGGAGCAGTGAAACCAGCCCTACTTCCTGGAATACCATGTCCATCGAACAGAATCAGATCCTATCACCACCACCCCCGCCACCACCACACACACACAGGACTTTAAAATTTGGAATGTGTACTTTTAAAGTTTCTCCGGAAGAATAAATATAGGAGAAAATCTATTAATGGTTGGGGAGGGGTGGTTAGGAGAGAATTTCTTCAGCTGATTGTACGTATTACATAGTATAATCCTAAAAAGATATAGTCGTGGGACAACAGGAAGCATGCAGGTCAGTGAAACCCTAGTGATCGTGTCATACATGATGATCATGATGCTTCAAATCACAGACAATCATTTATATATTTTTTTTCTTTTTTTTTTATTCTTATGTTAATCCCCATACATTACATCATTAGTTCTAGATGAAGTGTTCCATGATTCATTGTTTGTGCATAAGACAGTCATTTATATATTTTATATGATAATGCGGTCACTGTTAAACTGGCGGCTGTCAGTGACTGCTTCCACAGGGTAACACGGCTTCTCCAGTTCCTTCCAAAGCAGGTTATGGGATGGGGAAGGAAGGAGAGAACATGAAACCTCTGGGTCCCAGGAAGATGAAATAGACATCCTGGCAGGAACTCACACTTGTGTCTTCCGTTAAAAGTACTGGGTGTCCTACGCAACTCATGAACCATTGAACACTACATCAAAAACTAATGATGTGTTATATGTTGGCTAATTGAATTTAAATTAAAAAAAAGAAAAGTAATCCCGGAGAGGTTCTCTTACATCCACCGCGCTGTAAAAAGCAACCACCTCTCTCCCCTTCCTCTCGGCCATCCGCTGGGCAGCCGCAAAGCAGCAACCATGTGTGAGTGCATCTGCATCCACGCTGGCCAGGCTGGGGTCCAGATTGGCAGTGGCTGCTGGGAGCTCTGTTGCCTGGAACGCAGCCTCTAGCCCAGTGGTCAGATGCCAAGTGACAAGACCACTGGGGGAGGAGATGACTCCGTCAACACCGTCCTCAGTGAGACCGGGGCTGACGGGCATGTGTCCGGCGCAGCATTTGTAGACCTCCAACCCACAGTTGTTGAAGTTCACACCAGCCCCCATCACCAGCTCCTCCACCCCGCACAGCTCATCACAGGCAAGGAAGGTGCTGCCGTAACTGTGCCCGAGGGCACCACACCATCGGTGAGGAGATCATTGACCTTGTCTTGGATGGAATTTAGAAACTGGCTGACAGGTGCACAGGTCTTCAGGGCTTCTTGGTTTTCCTCAGCTTTGGAGGAGGAATGGGGTCTGGATTCACCTCCTTGCTGATGGAACCTCTCTCTGGCCATTATGGCAACAAGTCCAAGCTGGAGTTCTCCATTTACCCTCCACCCAGGTTTCCACAGCTGTGGTTGAGCCCTACAACTCCATGCTCATGACCCACACCACCCTAGAGTGCTCTGATTGTGCCTTCATGGTAGACAACGAGCCCATCTGTGACGTGTAGAAACCTCCCTACTGAACGCCCAACCTACACTAGCCTGAACAGGTTGATAGGTCAAATTGTGTCCTCCATCACTGCTTCCCTCAGGGTTGACGGAGCCCAGAAGTCCAGACCAGCCTGGTGCCCTGTCTCCGCATCCAATTCCCTCTGGCCCCATCTGCTGAGAAAGCCTCCCACCATCAGCCTTCTGTAGCAGAGGTCGCCAACGCGTGCTCTGAGCCAGCGAACCGGAGGCTGAAAGGGGACCCTCGCCACGACAAACACGGCTGCCCGCCCGTCGTATCGTGGCGGACGTGGTTCCCAAAGATGTCCATGCTGCCGCTGCTGCCATCAAGACCAAGCACACCACCCAGTTTGTGGACTGGTGCCCCAGTGGCTTCAAAGTTGGCATGAATTACCTGCCTCTGACTAGGGTACCTGGTGGAGACCCGGCCAAAGTACAGTGAGCGGTGAGCCTGCTGAGCAACACCAGAGCCATCGCTGAGGCCCGGGCCTCGCTGTTCACTGGTGTGTGGGCCGGGGCACAGAAGAGGGAGAGTTTTCTGAGGCCTGTGAGGACATGGCTGCTCTTGAGAAGGATTTTGAGGAGGATGGTGTGGATTCTGCAGAAAGAGAGGAATTACTTCAGTTAAGAATGTCACAAAGCGGGGTGCCTGGGTGGCTCAGTCACTTAAGCGTCTGCCTTCGGCTCAGGTCATGGTCCCGGGGTCCTGGGGTCGAGCCCCACGTCAGGCTCCCTGCTCAGTGGGAAGCCCGTTTCTCCCTCTCCCTCTGCCCCTCCACGCTGCTTGTGTTCCCTCTCTCGCTGTGTCTCTCTCTGTCAAATAAATAAAATCTTTAAAAAAAAAAGTGTCACAAAGCTGCTGCCTTTACGGGGAAGCTCATTCTAAGTATTGAAAAGTTGTGCTCTGATCCGTTCATTTGTAGGTAGCAGCGTATACTCTCATATGCAATTACTGACCTATGCTTTAAAACACGACTCTGTTACAGACCCAAGCTGTCCATTTCTCTGATGGGTTTGAGTAAAGTATTCCCTGTCTTAAATGGAAAAAAAAAAATCTGCTGAAAGGACCGCTGGGAAGTCATTATCGGCTCTTCGTGAACAGCAGACTGCCTCCTTGAAGGGTCCACATTTTTGCGAGCCTGAACCTGCAATGTGAAGCATCTGTATTCGAGGACCCTGAACTCTTGGCGGGGAGGGTCTCTGCCCCCGCGCGCCCTGCCGCCCTCGATCCTCGCTGTAGGATTGCAGAGACCATGGCACAGGGGCTCTCTCAGGACAAATACTACCGCAGGTAGCAGGATAAGTCCTTGCAAAGAGGCAACATTTTCAGAAAGAACTTAAAAAAATACATTTCCTGGAAATTGCCTCTGACATTTCAGATCTGCTCCAGGGAAAACCTCTATGGAAGCTTTAAGTAATGAACTGTCATCATTTGGATAATTGCCTTTCAACCATCAATGATTATCCCACCTCGCGGACTGAATCAATTATAAAACGTAGGGGCTCTTAACCTTGAAAAGCCCACAGGGATATGCGATACGGAGCCAAATACCAAACAAGCCACTTTAAAACAATTTTCAGTAGTTGCTCCCTAGAGAAAGTTGGGAGCAGGCAGCTTTGTTGTTTGGTTTGTTTTTTAAATAAGTCTGTCCAATTTTTGAGTCTTTATTTGAGTTTTTAACGGATTTGACTCTTGAAGCAGTATTTGTGTACAATTACGGTAAAAATAAAAACGAAATAGAAACCCCACAGGTGCCTCATTTCCCCACTTTGGCCTCCCATCTCCCAGTATTTGTTACCACGAGGTCACTGTCCCCAACAGTCAGCAGTCCCTGGCTCTTCCCACTGCCGCCAGAGTGCCTCTTGACCCCAGCGTCACGGTGACTGGAAGGTGAGGAAGAGCTCCAGGTCCCTCAGCCACGGATGGGAGCCTGGCTGCTGGCTAGTCCCCGTTCAGCTGATGGGCCCCGTGAGGGAGCCACGTTTCATCATTAAAATGATGAGTAACAATGGGAGCAAGAACCAAACCTTTAAAGAATTCTAACACTGGAGTTGGGCCTTAGCCCTGTGGGTGGGTGAGGATGTTGTGTTGCTGTTTTTCAAAGCTGAGCCTCCTCCAAGTTTGTCATGCAGGTTCGTCATGCAGCAGCTACAGCTCCACTTCCCAACGCAGAGACCCTGCAAGGACCAGGCTCCTGGTGATCTCCATCTGCTGAGTTTCCATCTCAGATTCAGCCAGTAAGGGCCACGTGGTCATGAAGCCTGACATCAGCAAATCTGTGTCAAAACCTGAACTCTGATGCAGAAAAACTCAAGGGCAACCTGTCGGAATTGGCCAGCTAATTCCCAGCAATATTTAGGAAGTCATCCAGCACTAGGTGAGGCCCAGGACTGATCACACATACCAATCGCTTTACCCACTCCTGCAGGTTCATACAGGGTGAACGTAGATTAATAAAAATCAGCACACCTGTATGGGTCAGGGTTTCCCAGACTGATAGATGTATATTTTTTTATTTTAAGGAATTGGCTCATGTGGTGCTAGGGGCTGGCAATTCTGAAATCCAGGCCGGCTGACAGGTGGAACCTCGAGCAGAAGTTGGTGCCACCCCAGTATGTGTGTAGGGCCTGTAAGTTTGTCTGTCCCAAGCACGTCTGCAGACCCACCCAGTCAGTCTCCTTAGGTATGCTTCCGGCATTTGCTTTCAGCCCCACATTCTGGCTGTGAGAGAGGCTCCTAGAACCTCTAACCTGGCCAGACTGCTGCTCCCATCCCCCACAAAGCCGTGGCAACTCTGCCCGCACCCCCAAATCTCTCCACCACGAACAGGCAGCACATTTCTGAGCAGAAGTGTAGCGTGAGGGCCTGTCTGGACACCAGTTGTCTCAGTGTGACTTCCTTCAAAAGCAGAGCTTGAGACAAAGAACTTGCAACCAAGTAAGTGATTTGGGAACTGATCTTGAGAAGCAGGACTGATTGAACAGGAAGGAGTCTCAGAAGAAGAAGAAAAAAACGACATGAGTGTGTGTTATCAGGGTCACTGCCAAGGACGCCTGGTTCTGCTGGGGCCTAAAACAGGCAGGCCCGGATGGAAGGCCCTGTGCCCAGAGCGGAGTAGGTCACACAGGAGCCATTCTGAGCTCGTGGGGTCGGCCTTTGAGCTGCGCGGAGCTCCGGGTTGGGCTGGTGGGCTGCGAGGCGCCGAGGCATCGTTCTGCTGCCCCACGGGGACGTGTTTGAAGGAACAGAAGCTCGTTCAGCCTGGGGGAGAGAGCACTGGGCATGGGACAGAGGGCCTCACATGCCGAAGGGCAGCCTGTGTTAGATACAGTGGTGGTGTGAGGGCTGGGGATTGGGGGGCAGGGGGCAGATTCTGCGCCAGACCTTGGCCAGCCACTCCCCAGGAATATTCACATGCAAAGAAGAGTGGCAAGATAAAGGAAAATAATACTCTACGATGGGGGCCTTGACCGGTTCTCTAATCAGGTGCAGAGAATTTCTGTTAGCTGGGCTGGACCTCAGCAAGCATTCCCTTATCCTAGTTTTTTAGGCTTCTGATGAAAGTAGGCCACAAAGCCCTCCACGTCACCTTTCTGAGACCCAGCCCTAAACCTTGATTGTACCAGGCCTAGAGGCAGCCGAAACGCACAGGTTTTGGAGCCAAACTCGCAGACCTTGGGCTCGAGTCTTACCTCCACCGTATGACTAATCATATGACTGTGGGCAAGTTTCCTGGTGTCTCGTTTATAAAGCAGAGGCAGTGATAGTGCCTGCCTCCTAGGCCTGGGATGAGGAATAAATGAGTTAACTCATATAAAACACTTACAACAGTATCCGGTGCATCGAAAACCCCCAAACTGTTAGTTATGCTTATTAGTACTCCCTGTAGCAGGAGGAAAGGAAGAGAGGGGGACAACGGAAGGAGGGAGGAGGAGGGGAGGGCGAGGAAGACGGGCAGGCAAGGCTAGACCAGGCGAGGCAGCTGCTGCCTAGCAACACCACCCACCACCAAGAGTGGTTATAGCCCACGTTTTGAAAAGTCTGATTGTTACTTCGCCCCTTCGGAAAAAGCAGGGTGGTGGATAGGAGAAAATCTGAGAGCTACCTCTTGCTTGGGCACCTACCCAATGGACAAGGGAACAGGCTTATTTTGTGGTGTTCCCGGGAGTTAAACCAGGCCAGTGAGGGTAAGGTTTGTTCTTGGTAGCATTACCAACTGTCTAACATTTAAGTTGTTCTCGATGGGATGATGGGCGGTCCACCCACCCTTGAATGATGGGTGCTTCCATTTGCTAGGAAATCAAGGATGGGTGTGCCTGAACGAGACCCGGCCCACTCTCGACATTTCCTCCCACACTCGTGAGACAGAACATGGGAAGCGGGGCAGAGAGAAGCCTGTTCTGCATATACCACCGGACTTTTTTTGTAAATAACATTTTCTAATGTGTATTGACAGTGAGCTTGTTCTAGGTAGTTGGAAGCACTTTCAGTGTGTTACTTGATCATCACATGGGCCTTGTGATGCAGGTGGTTTGTTAACAACATCTACATTTTATTTTTTTAAAGATTTTATTTATTTATTTGACACAGAAAGAGATCGAGAGAGAGGGAACACAAGCAGGGGGAGTGGGAGAGGGAGAAGCAGGCTTCCCGCTGAGCAGGGAGCCCGAGGCGGGGCTCGATCCCAGAACCCTGGGATCATGACCAGAGCCGAGGGCAGACTCCCAACGACTGAGCCACCCGGGTGCCTCATAATATCCACATTTTGGCCCCACAAAACTCATTTTAGACTTTGAACCTCCAGAACGGTTAGATAATAACTTAGTGTTGTTTAAGCCACCATATTTATCATAATTACAGTAGCAATCGCAGACTAATACATGCTCCATCCATTTCTTTTAATTACAATGTATCTGTTAAGCTCTGGCCTTTTGACCCATGAAATTTCCTAAGGCAGGACTTTGCTGACTGGGTACTAATGGTACAGTTGAACATTTTCCTTCGTCTTCTGGATGTGCCACGAATCGGCAGCTGAATCCAGCAGCTGGGTCAGGCTCGGATTCCATTCCTTTGGCAAACGCTATAAGTGACTTGCTTTCTTTTCAGGATGTGTGTGGTTTTTGTTCTATTTCAGTTTAGCAGCAAATGATGTTCAGGTCTCTGCTCCATTAACAAATTCATTTGGAGTTACAGGCTGGTGGTATTTGAATTCTGCAGTTTAAAAATTTTTAATAGCTATACTACTTTACAAGGTGATCCATCCCTTCATCTACTGTTTGGTTGTCTAGCAGTACCATTTATATAGGAAAGACAGTAAATGCTTTTCCTTTGCTTTTGTTTACTCAGTTCTCAGGATAATGAATTGGTTGCCTGTCATCCTCAAAAGGTGATAGTTCTTATTTAAATATCATTATAGGGGCGCCTGGGTGGCCCATTCGGTTAAGTGTCTGCCTTCAACTCAGGTCGTGATCCCAGGGTCCTTGGATAAAGCCGCATGTCAGGCTCCCTGCTCAGTGTGGAGCCTGCTTCTCCCTCTGCCCCTCCCTCCCCACCCCCACACTCATGCTCTCTCTCTCTCTCAAATAAATAAATAAATAAAATCTATAGAAATAAAAATAAATTAATATCATTATAAATTTATGGACTTATATTTGATGTGTTTCAATCCACTGAAATTCCTGTCTTTATTGAATCTCAAATTGTCCCACCTTTTGGCCACTGGGAACTTCTGAGTCATTTGGACACGGCCTTAATAGTCTTTGGTAGTTCTTAGCTATTTGGTATCTTGAGATGTTCCAGACTCTTCTGGAACATTTCTTACCTCCAATCCAGAATCAGCCATTTCTCCTAGAATCTCTGGTTTCTTTTAATGGAGAACGATTTTTTTTTTTTTTAAGAGAGCGTGAGCGGAGAGGGGCAGAGGGAGAAGGAGAGAGAGAATCTTAAGCAGGCTTCATGCTCAGTGTGGAGTCCAACAAGGGGCTCAATCTAACAATCCTGAGATCATGACCTGAGCCAAAATCAAGAGTCGGACGCTTAACCAACTGAGCCACCCAGGAATCCCAATAGAGAATGATATTTTAAGAGTACAACCTAGAGGCTATGGCTATGTATAAAAATATGAATATATATAGAGAGAGAGACAAAAATATAGAAACAATGACCAGCCAGAATGCAATGATTATCCATAGTACATCTAAATGATACATAGTACAACCAAAATGATGTACTTTTTGTTCATATATATATTTGAAACTTTACATATTTATGAATGTGTATCTATTTATGGAGATATCTACCTATCCACCATCTATCTATCTTCCTTGAGTTCACAGAGAATTTTTCAATTCAAGTTAAGAAAACAAGGTTTTTACTTAATCACTTCTATATTCCATCTGTATCTTCTTTCTTTCACACTGAGATTCTTAGTTCTCAGTGATACGGGGAAGAACAGAATTAAAATACCCCATAACTTCTCATTTGCTTCATCCCACATGACACATACTATGGTCTCAGAGCAACAATAACTAATCCTAGCACATTGATTATGATTACTGAAAACACTTAACAAGTTTGTCTGCCTATGTTATCCCCATTCTCCCTTTATTTGTTGATTTATTTTGTTGACTTATTTTGTTATGATTTACGTCATCAGATCACATAGTCATCACATACTACAATCTCTGCTTTTAAACCCTCTCTTAGTTTTACGAGTAACTATATATTTAATGCTAAGCAGCCGTCCTTGTGCTGATGTTTGCCGACATTTAGTTGTCTAAAGTTCATTCTCTACTAAATTCCTTACAAAGAGCTCATGGGGACACTATTTCCTGAGTTCTTCATGCTCACCAGAATGTGTGCTCTTTATACTGAAAAGTATTTTACTGTTT